TTCCCTCGTTCCCTCGTTCCCTCGTTCCTTCGTTCCTTCGTTCCTTCGTTCCTTCGTTCCTTCGTTCCTTCGTTCCTTCGTTCCTTCGTTCGCTCGTTCGTTCGCTCGTTCGTTTGTTTATTTATTTACTATCAACCCATCCGTCTGTCCGTTAGCACGTTTGTTCTCTCATTAACTTGCTACCTTTCTAATCTCTAAGAGAAATGGATAAAGTATTGAGGACCTCTTTACCGTCGATTGAGTATTATTTTCTGCGTTTGCCTCTTTATCAGCCATTTTATCAAGAAAGTGTCGAGAAGAAGAACAAATATCTTTTCACCAAATCAGGATCCCACAGGTATATAACTCAGACATTTTTTTATTCTTCGAGCTGTGAAATTTCACGTAACCTCGTTGTAAAGCTTAAAACTAAAGCGCTAAATCTTATTGAGATTATTAAAATTACTTTAAAATTACTTGTTAAAGTAAATGTCGGTGTCTAGCCTTCCAGGCTAACTCGAAAACCTAATGGTTCATTTAGCCTCCAGTCTCAGTAAAACAAGATTACAACAGCTACCTACATGAAAAATACTACATATTTAAAATATACTTCAAATCTCAGAATAATCATGATATTTATATTTGTATTAAGAAAATAGAGATGTTGTTTTTTGTTGTTGGTGTTGCTGTTGTTATTGACCAGAGTCTTTCCTGACTACACAGGAGGAATGTTTTAAAGCTGCAAGTTTTCTTTGAGGAACTTGACGTTGAATTCATTTCAGAACAGCGTTCCTATGAAGTAAGTTCTGCCGAAATGTAATGTGTTGCCGGACAGTGAACGTCTTTTCCAGCCAGCCACGTATATGGCTACTCACGGGCAGTTTGTTTGTGTTCCAGGCGCAAATTCTTGGAAGCAATTTAGCAAGTGGGGGACATGCTTGGTAAATAAGCATGCGAACCAGTGGCAATAGCATTGCTTCTAGTCTGTTACTTCAGTTGCTACTGATATCACGAGTTAATCTCATTACATTTGTGCGCCACTAGGCCCATATAATTATTGCTAGAGGTTTAGTTGTCTTACTATAAATACGGAGAAGTAATCTTCGCCATAGTGCACACAAATTAAAAAGAAAAAATGAACGAAAAGTTTCTAACGGACATTGTGATGAGTAATGATGTCACGGTGTGAACTTAAACTTTTCCGGTGTTTGCAGCGTTTACACTGATTTGTAGATATCTGTTCGTTTTCTTTTGTTTTGTTTCTAATTGTGCTGGTTGAGCCACATTATAATAGAACCATATCAAGGCAATTAATTATATTGAAATTCTGTGAGCTCTGTTAACCTGCATTTGAAGCTTAGTCTTCTTTTTTTAAAGTTGCTCTGTTTATTTTCAACGTGTATAGGCCGGGACGTGAATAAGATGGTTGCAAGTTAATAACAGGTGAAATGAGAATCGCCTGACAAATTAATTATTTCCGTAGTAGTTTTTTTTTTCTTTTTTTTAATATTGGCAGTCTGTAAATTTGACTTATACATATTGGAATAATTCCCTGATCAAATTTGAGGGATCAAAAATCAGTTGAAATCAAGCTTGCAGCCGAGTATTCCCGTTAAGTGTTTTCACTGCAATCTTTGCGAGACTCCGAAAGCTTACCTCTAAAGAAATCACATTTGACGGAACTAGTTCGACTTCAGATTGCCATTCATGAAAACTTACCATAATTCATAACCATAATCAACCGAGTCTTTACTTCGACATTATTTTCATTATCGCAACTTATGATCTAACTACAACCGATTAGAAATATAAGCTAACATAGGGCTTGGCACCGGTTGCGCTAACTTCACCTGCAGTTTACTCTCTTAAATGGTCGGTTTCCCCCACTTTATTTTTTTAGATCAGTTCCGATTTTCTGATTTTCTCCATTTTAACAAAACACAGAAAAAATCTGCGGGTGAGAAGTTACAAATATTTCGCTTTTTCTGCTCTCTTGCAACCGAGGTTTCCTTCGAGTGTGGACGGGCAAATCTAATAAGTACTCCTATATTCAAGGCCTATTGTTCCCCAAGGAACGACGTCAGCTGCAAAAGTTTACCCAATATTCTTTGCTATATATGTTGAATTGAGTACGTTTACCTAATCTTAATTTCAGTAATGTAGCTTCTCAGTTTTATTACTGATTGTTAGTAAGTTACGATCGTTTAAAATAAGGAAAACTTCCAAAAACGCGTGGTCTTCAATGCATACCATCTCGAAAACGAGCACGGTGACCTCTTCCCTTCGCACATTTTTTTCTTTTCTTTTTCTTTTTTACCTTTTTGGCAAAAGTTGATCTTTACCTAACTGCGTGGGAACATCTTAGGTGCTAACATCCTTAAGGATTAGTTTCCCTGCAGTTTCACTTTTACCAGAAAACATTCGACACAATTTAGCATGATAAAGTCGATATGACTAATAGCATGTTCTAAGCCTAAGCAGAATATATGCTTGGTACTTAAAATATGCGCATGCTTTACAATAAACCGGCTGTGCAAATTTTGTCTACTGCAGAAATCCAGTGGCTTATATATGTTTGAATATAGTGGAAACTTCTTTTGAGGGCATAACTTTCAGTAATCATTAATTAAAGTTAAATAAATAAAAATAAGTAGCTGATTTCTGGCATTACGTAACGTTATTCTTTTTTAATATTACGTAACGCTTAAAGTCAACAAATGATACTTTTGGCTAATAATGCGATCACGAGTAATAGAGTAATACTGCTATTGAGATGTTGACTAGAAATTCACGGAAGGAACATGAATGATTGCGGTTACCGGAATTGGCCCTGAGAGTTAGCCTGGAGTACCCTTGTCAGGAGCACGTCGAAGAAACATAGGCTTAAAACACGCTACCCTCCAAAGAAAGGAATGGGACGTCAATGGATAGCAAAAGACTCAAGATATTGATGTGCGGGCACGCAGATTTCACGCTCGACTAAGATTAACTTTTTGGGACGAGATGTTTCGGAAAACGAGCTCGCGCGACGGTTTGCAGCTAGATGCTGTAGATGCACAGTCGTTGAGTCCAGCACTAAATATGGCCCATCACAAAAAAATGATAATATTCCCTATACAAATTCCTAAACTAATTGCTTGGTTTTTCTTCAACAGCTTGTGGCCTTTGTGTCCGACATTGGCGGTCAACTGGGACTGTGGATTGGGTTCTCTGTACTGACTATAGCCGAATTCTTTGAACTTATCTTACTGCTGTGTCATTTGGCCGTCAAAAAATGCACAGTCAAGAAAACATCAGCCCAGAGTAACCAGCAATGAGATAGGACAAGAGAAGAAACTTCCCTGAACCACATAACCATGCACTTGCGAAACCTAACCTTCCATTAGTATGGACTTAAATAATAAACTCCATAAGAATTCATAAGAATTCATGACATAGTCTTCTGTAGAAAAGAAAAAAGCTTTTCGAGTTAATGCAAAAAGAACAGTTGAGGTACGAATGTGATTAAAGTACTTTAGGTCACCAATAACTATTAATTGATCGACGTTCATTGTGAACGCCATATAAGCAAAGTCTGATAAGAGAAAGTGAACTGCCTATCAGTTATGCACTTTAAATTTGAGAACCAGGAGAGAACAGGCCTGGGAAACAAGACGTAACAATTAATCGATCGACCTGTGATGGAGTATTACATGAAAAAGAGTAACCAAAAAAAGCTTTGCAGAAGTGTGAATAAACAGTACTATTTAATGAATAACCTTTTACCCTCATTTTTTCTTGACTTTTAGCAAATTTGGAGAAAAACTTAGGCAAGGGGTAGCAAACGGTCCTTTAAAGTTATGGTACTCGCAAAGTTTTCCTCAGATTTCAGGGCTCCTGTAGTCTCGTATTTTAGAGGTTATGTGAATCTCGCAATCTCATTTTCGGGAGGACATGTTAATGTTCGACCTATGCAACTGTGAAGCGAGGTGGTCCTCAGGCAGGCTGGACGGCTGGTTGGATGGCTATTCAAGCTGTGCAAGATGTTCTACTGAGGAGAGTGGGGTGGGGTAATTGTGATGAAAAAAATCATTCAAGCTACTTTTAGACCAAAAATTGCATACTTATATAACAAGAAAAGAAAATCATAAAGGGCTGGGAAAGATATATCTTGAGCGTTCAGGGTCCAAAAATGAATAAAATTCATGCTCAACTTGAATCACCCATCCATCTCTTATCAACCCCTGAAAGTTCAAAGGTCGTCCCTAAGAATATGGCGTAGCTGTTTACGGGCAATTTCCTTTCGCGTAGCTGTTTACGAGCAATTTCGTTTCGTATTGCGTAGCTGTTTACCAACAAGTTCTTTTCGTGTGGCGTAGCTGTTTACCAGCAAGTTCTTTGTGTGTGACTTGGCTGTTTACCAGCAAGTTCTCTGCGTGATGCGTGGCTGTTTACCAGCAAGCTCTTTGTGTGTGGAACAAAACGCGAGTATTTCTTCTTCATTTTAATTTGACTACAACATGCAGACACATAATAATAATAATAATCATCATCATCATCATCATCATCGAATATTTCCTCAGGATAACCCTTCAGTACAAAGTACTGTTATAAACGGGGTCCTGCTAAGAATTAAAAACTAATAAACAAGAATTATTAAGATATATAAAATAAGATACATATTAAAAACCGTTAAAAATACAATAGAAATTACAAGTAATAATTGTCTAAGGCTTTCCTAAATAAAACTCTAGAATTAATGTTTCTTAAACTTAAAGGCAATAAATTAAAAATCGAGGCACCTAAAAAATAAAAGCTACGGCGTGCAAAATCCAGTCTGACTTTTGGTAGTTTTTCAGTTTTCCCATTGTTGCGAGTGTTTAAAGCGTTATGATGTAATCGGTGAAAATAGTCTTTAAATGGAAAGCATGCAGTTCCATTAAGGCAGTCAAATA